CCATGGTGGAGACCTGGAGGTTGAGACCCCAGGAACTGTGCCCATCAGCAGACCTAAGGGATCAATTGAACAGGGTAGAGGAATAATCTTTTGGACTTTCACCCTTTTATGGACTTGACAGAGATTGGAATATGCTTCCTGAATCCAAAATAAGGTAGAATTATGTTCTTCTGAATTGGTGTCTACACTGGATGTGTTAACAGTGACTGTGACCCTTATGTCTTCTATGATTAGAGATATGCTATTGGGTCCACTAAGTATTAGAGGTGAAGTCATATATTCTCGGTTAAATGTGGCAGCATCATGAACTTAAGGAGAGTGGAGAAAATGGAAAATGGTTTATGTGAGAGTTAGAGAGAGAGCTCCTTGTTTGGGTTGCTGCATAGAGTTTCCACTGGACATCATAACTTAATAGTGACATATCTGAGCTCCATGATATGATTTTTTCAGTGGTATGAATTCTTCTCATTAGCATAATAATAATGAGTATGAGGAGAGAGTGGAATGTGCCCAAAGTGGGGCTCTGCTGTTGAGTGGCAGAGAAAGTCAATGGGATGGGTGCCCTGGGATGGGTTTGTCCTAAGAGAGGGGCATATGCCTTGGAAAATGTTGGGGTAATAGTGGCATCTGAATAGCTCTTCCTAGCCTTTGAAAATGCAGGGAAGAGGGTGTAAATCTTATGCTGGGTTGTGTGCATATATGCAGCAGGTCTCTAAGGAGAACAGCCTTTGGCATGTTGGAATCTTGTAGGTATGGGGAGTCAGCAACTTTGGGATAAGGATCAATTCTAAAGACTGGACCAGTCAAGTTGGGGTTGAGGTTTTGGGGAGAAAGTCAACAGAGCAAGGACACTAAGAGTATTGGCAATATTCAGGTTGCTGGAACTTGGAGGCTAAGCAACCCAGGGAAAAAAGTAGAGACAGAAGAGAAGTAAAGGTGAATGGGGAAAAGTACATATGTGGGGTAGTCAAGGACCTAGGGACCTGATGATGAAGGATGTTTAGTGGGAGCTAGTGAAAGATCTGGAAAGATGGGAAGTTGTGGTCGGGGAGTAGGCTATTTGAATTTATGACATCAGAGGTGGAGAAGTTCTGAGTAATCAGTAAGCCAGGAAGTGGTCTCGGGAGGGGCATTGTTGACCCTTGTCATCACTGAGACCCTCTCTTTGATCCAACATTCACATGGCTTTTCTCTCTCCTTTCAGCATCTGATGTACCTCACTTCCCAGCTCCCCTTTTCTCACTTTCTGGTCCAGCAAGAGAAACTCACAGCATCTTTTCTTACTTCCGGAGAAATTTATTCCACATGTGTCTGATTCATTTGCGTTTACAGAAACTTGAAATCTCCACTGTCCAAAAATCCTTTCAACTATTTTTTTTCTTCCCTTTCTTAGAAACAGGAAGTTGTATTTGGCTGAGGACAAACTCTTTCAGTGCCCCTAGGACTTACAAGACATTTGGAATGAGGAACAGTGAGGTCTGGGGAAGGCTTCTTTGCTTTCTTCTTTCGTGGGGACAATTGCTCATCTGTCAGGGTAGGCTGGGCAGCCCATGGGGATGAAAGACCAGCCAGAAATTTCTTGTCTCTCCTTGATGAGTCGGTTCTACAACAGACAGGTGGATTTCTCTCTCCTTGCTTTAGTGTTGCAGTTTGGAATGTAATTGTACATTGGGTATTGTCCCTCTTTTCCCAATAGTTGAGCAGTGGCTATGAGAAGTCCCTTTATTATATATATTTTTTTTTCCTGGGGAGTGTTGGTTGGCCAGCATTCAATTTTGAGCAAGGTCAGCTACTTCTTAAGTGGAATGTTAGTGAATCTCCCTACCTGAAGAAGAAGAACCTGGGAAACATGGCATATTACAACGGGGCACACCTATTTTGATAAACTTGGTCAGGCCATTCTGAAGTGTTAACCTATAAAGTGGACAGATGCCTGGGAGGGACCAACATGGTACAGGCAAAATATGGAGTCCCAACTCAACCACTTTGCTCACTCAACATTCCAACTTCTAATTCTCTTTGTATTGTTTAGAAGTTTCTTTCTTTCTCCCTGCCCCCTTCCCTTCACTCCTTCTTCAACTCTTCCTCCTCCTCCTCCTTACTCATGTACTGGTGGGGATGGACCCATGGCCTTGCTTATGGTAGGCACACACTCTACCACTGAGCTACACTCTCAGTCCCCTAAAATATTTTCCTATGTAAGGTAAATATGACCATGGTATTTATTCCTTTAATGCTTACCCAAAATGAACCAGCAAAAAATGTCAGCTTAAATGGGGGACTTCTTTCTCTTTCATGTCCCACATGCTGCTTTCCCAAAGCTGCAGGCTCAGCTGGAGGAGCGCAGATGGGAAACGTGCTGTGCTGGAGGAGAGCTTTCATCATAAAGACATACTGTCCTCCAGCCACAGGCCACCAAAGGAGAGCAAACCCCTGTTTATATTTCTCAAGGATAGGAGTGATGTCTCTTGCTTCCTCTGCTTACTGTCCTAGCACCCTAGACCGTGTGTGCCTCAGGGACTTGGGGTAGTTGACAGTCTTGGAGCAAGGGGTGGTGATTGCTGGGCAGAGATATGCTTCTCATTGCTTGGGGGAATTCTCTTCCCAAATTCTCAAAATCCTCTGGTCAGCTATAGGGGGATAAAAGGCAGAGAACAAATGCCAGACAAGGATTTACTTATCTTAAGGATGAACAATTTGAAATGAATTTTGATGCTAATGTATCACCTTTGGAATATTTCTGGCAGCTGCTTGGAGGATCCAGATTAATGACCAAGTTACCTGCTGAGTCAGGGCCTTAGGGGCTTCCATTAGAAGGCATCAGTACCAGTTTCTATCAGGAGCAATGGTTGGAGAATGCAAATACTAGAGGAAATATAGTCTTTCCTTCTGTGGGCTAAAAGGATGGTTGTGGTTGGCCAGGGCAAACAATGGTGTGGTCTCCCTTTGCAGCTCTATTTTCTGAGTCCCTGAGCTGCAGCTGTTGAATTTCCAGACACAAACAAGTATGTATTCTGTGAGCCTTGCCGAGCCCACACAGCAAGGGAGAGCCAAGCTGGATTCCATTCTGCTTTGCACATCAGCAGCTCTGCTGCCAGCTGAACTTCAGGGCAAAACCTGTGCCTGGTAATAATGCAGGCAGTAAGGATGGCACAGCTGGCTTGACAAGGGCAGTTAATGGGGGACACACTTGCCCTTGATTACTTGGGGAAGAATGATAAACAGAAGGAGATAAAGACTTACAGAAACATCTATCAGCCTCAACAAAACTGGTTCACAGCAAGGAAAAATCTGCTTTTAGTAGTCATCAACAACATGCCTCTCTGTGTGTGCTTGTTTATGTTTAGGTAAGCCCGGCCTCCCACTCACTAAACAGACTGGGCAGAGAGGGAAAAGCAATATCTCTGTCAACTGCCACCATGTAGAGACCAGCTAAAGGGGGACAGTTGGGGCTGAAACTGCATTGGCCTTGTCTTGGGCCCCAAGGGTCTGAGAACTCATTCACACTGTGGCTCCATCAGCATCCTTTCTGCCTGTGTCCCCATGTCTTGAGAGAAACCCAAAGGGAAGGACAAAGGGGCCAAAAGAAGATCTCTTCCTTCTGTTTTTAGAATGTCATTACTTTCTTTCTTTATTTTAAATTTTTAGTTGTAGATGGACATAATACCTTTATTTTATTTATTTTATGTGGTGCTGAGGATCAAACGCAGTGCCTCACTTGTGCTAGGCAAGCGCTCTGCCACTGAACTGTCGTTTCTTAATGTTGTCCATTTCTTCTCACCCATTCACAACCAAGGACTAAGTTACTTATATGGAAGACTGAGCCAGAGAGTGCTTCTGAGCCATGAGAGAGAAGAGAAAATATGGGCAGGAAAGGGGATATTGGAGGCTCTCAGGTAGATATGGGGTACCTGGTGGGGAATGCCATCCTGGATAAAAGGGCTTATGGGGGAGATATAAGTTTCTTGGGCCAAAAGAATTATGAGATGTGGATGAAATTTGGCATATCATCTGGAAAACAGATGCTGAAGTCACTGGGATGTTACCTAGGTACAGGTTTAGAATTCCTGAGATCTTAGAAAGATTGTGTATTTTTCACTTAAATAAAATGAAGCAGAATAGCATGTAAGATGGGGCAGCTTGAAGAGTAAAATGGGATACTCTTTCTCAAGAATAATGAGCCCAAGAGGTACCACATAACCATGGTGATCTCCCAGTTTCCTTCTTATTAAAGGTCAGAAGAGACAAGCCAGATGCTAGCTGCTCTGTGTGTGCTTGAGGTGAGCTGACCTAGTTTTACCTTCATCGTGGGGCTTTGGGCCCCCTGCCCTTTCTAAAGAATGAACCAGACTATACCACTTCATTGGCACAAGATCACACTTTAGTTCAGAGACACATTTGCATAAATACTTGAAATGGGTCCACCCTGGCAGGTGGCAGCCTGAGAACATGTGGCTCTCCACAACCCTGTGACCAACACTGTGGCCCTTTAGATGGTGAATTTTAACACTGAAGATAGTCATGGTCATTTCCAAAGACAGCTTGGGGCACAGCTACAGAGTTTGCTTTGACATTTGTCACTGACTCCCTGCCCCATGCCTCTCTTGTACTAATATATTTTCCCCTCTGAGGTAGATTATTTATCGGGGAAACCAAATAGAAAAAAAAAAAAAAACTTTAAATCTAACTTTGCTAGTCCTTTGCAAATAGGCTGGCTCTGAGTCTCCCATTGAAGTCAATAAGTGCACTTTTGCCTTTTAACCTATGCCCTCTATTTGAACCTGAGCAAGGTTCAGTCCACTAGACAGCTGACTTAGGATCTGTCATCCCCATCCCTTCTTCTCCTCCCCCTTATGAATTCAGGCAGTACTCAAGGGGCTGCGGCAAGGGAAGGCCTGGGCAGGCCATGCCACCTTGATATACAGGGTCACCAGAGGGGACCCTTGTCCACACCCCAGCACCCCAAGTCCATGAGCACAAGACCCTTTCCCACCACATGATCACAGGGGACATGGCTGACTTCCGCAGGGCTTTGCATCCTCAGGTTTCAGAGCCTTACTACAGGTGGTGGAGGCCTGGCCTGTGGGATCCCTGCACTCCACAGTCCGCCGCTGCCAACCACCTCCACAGGTACTGGAACACTCAGACCAGTCCCCTAGCACCCACTGCACATGGAGCAGTGGCTGGATGATGTTGGTGGTTGCTCTCTCTTTGCTGTTTTGTATGCTGAAATCCACATCATTTGGAACAAAGAAGGTGTATTTGACTTTCGGTGGGAAGATCTCACCAGGGACAGTCAGGAGCTGCACTGTCAGAGGCTCAGGTAGGGGCCGGAAGCTCTGTAGCCTCTCCAGGGTGGCAATGGAACCACTGTACTTCAGGATGGTCCCCTTCACCAAGATGTCCTGCTCTATGGCAGAGATGGACAGGTTGCCATTGAGCAGGTACCGCCCATCAGTGGTCTTTAATGCTAGGTAGCTGCCATCATTCTGGACCCCTGGGTGGCTCCGTTGTTTCACATCAATGTTTGTGGCACCAGCTGGGATGGTGACAATGTCATTGTAGCCATAACTACAATAGGAACAGAGAGACACTGTTAGGACTGGTGGCAGCCTAGGTCCTTAGGGTGTCTTTGAGACTGAAGTGAACACCCCTGGTGTTTGGGAGTGAGCAGACAAAAACAATTACTCAATAATAAAGGAATTGCCCCATAGTTCTAAATAAATTAGCTATTGAAGCAGAAAAAAATGTCTTGTACTTAGGATTTTTAAGAGTTTTGCTTCATCTGTCAGCTCTATTGTAGGTGTTTGGGTTAAGGAGTTGGGATGGATGGATCTTAAAAACAACATAGAGGGAGAGCCCAAAGGGGTTTGAAAAGCTGCACTGGTGCAGACAAATCTGGCACTTCATGACTCAAGTGAGATCTCAAATATATCTAGTTCCTTGTGCTGGTGTAAAACTAGGCTTGGCCATCTCCACACCCAGACTTCAAACCCATGTGGAAAAATCTGATCTTGTCACCTGTTCCAGAACTGACCTGGGTGGAAGTCCCATACCACCTCTTTGAGTCAGTCAGCATCTATGGTTATTATGGACTTAGGGCAGGATTTCAGGATGGTGGATAGTTAAAGCTTACTTCTTTGGAATCACCTTTTGAGTGTGCCCAGCCATGAGTACCAAGCAGTGAGAGGAAGCTATTTAGGGAAAATGGTTCGTCCATTATAGGCATGGGGCTTTATGCAGGATGAAGAAAATTTAGTTCTTTTGTCCTCCTCTGGGGATCTGGGTTAAAGAGGCTGGGGAGAAAGGGAAGAGTATTGAGGAGGACAGTCCAGTTCTTTGCTATTCTTGTCATGTGCCCAGCCAGGACTAGCTGTTTAGTCTAAGGCTATAACAGTATCCAAGGCCCATATGTCCAGTGCCTAAGAGGAAGTTGCTAAAAGACCAACAATCTGAAGAACTTATGGTTTTCCACCCTATATCCTTTGAGCTTAAAATTGAATACTACCAAGTTGTCTACTATGAGACACAAATATATGCATATGTGTGTGTGTATATATATATATATATATATATATAGAGAGAGAGAGAGAGAGAGAGAGAGAGAGAGAGAGAGAGGCGGGAGAAAAATAAATGAATATGAGGCAGGGTAGAGCAAACATCACTAGGTAAGTAAACACTTTTCAAAGTCTCTGAGGAATTTCAGATGGAGTAGTGGGAGGAGGCTTGGATGATTACCTAGCTGCCAGAAAAATATATATGTACTAGTGCCAGAGTAGCAGAGTGTAGTCCCTACCATGTGACCATGCCCTTATTCTTTAGGAAGTGCATGGAATGGCAGGAAAAAATAATCCCCAAGGACTTAAGAAATCCAGGTTCTCTTTCTGGTCATCATTAACTCTCCGCGTGATCTTAGAAGAGTCACTTAATCATTTTCTGCCTTAGTTTCTTTGTCTGTAACATAAAGAGTAATAGTATTTGCCTTGTCTACCTCATAACTTGTTTTAGGAATCAAATGAGGCTGTTGAAGTAAAGGACTTTGAAAAATTCTAGGAGCTACATGAATGTGGGGCACGTGGATGTTAGAAAACTGTTCTGAGTTCTCAGATTTGTGAGGCTGCTGAGCCACTCTTTTGTACCCTCTTTTCTGAGGATTCATCTAGAAGAGAACAAAGTTCACCAGGCTTAGGGTGAGATGTCCTTCCTAAAGCAGAGGCCTGGAGGAACTGTTTTCTGGCAAAGGGCCAGGTTACTCAGCCCAGCCCTCCAGCAGATTGAGTCAGAGCTGATACATTGTATCCAGGTGGCCTCCCTCTAATAAAAATATTAAAGAAAAAGCAGCTGCCCTGAGTTCCATCCTTTCTATGGCTTGACCCTGTGCCAAGGGCTCCACTCATTCCATCGCATGAAATCCTTACAGTGACTCTCAGATGGCTGATGTTCTACAGAGAAACTGCAGCTCAGAGAGTTTAAATAACTTGCCCAGTCTACAGAGCCATTAAGGAGCAGCTGCAGTTCAAACTTGGGCTGATTAGAGTCCAAAGTCTGATATGCTCTTCTGCCAGTGTACAATTTCTGGGGAAGCTCACCTGGAAGGGGTAAAGGAACCGGAGACCTTCCTGCATGAGTTTCCTTTGCCCCCACACACACCACATTTATCCAGCTTCCTAGGTGAGTCCACCACATGGTCACAGCCAGCCTTGACGCACTGGCCTCGGATGCAGATGGCCAGAGTCTCTGGACCACATAGAGTTCCATCGATTACCTGGGAAAGGAAAGGATGATTGAGTATATGGTACATAGAAACAGCCTGCAGGAGGGGTGTGCCATAGGTGCCTTCTTCCCCATCTGATCTGAGTACAGTAGGATTCTCACCTTGGCTTCAAACACTTTGAATTCACTCCTCCCCCGGGCTCTGCAGAACAACTTACAGCGGTCCCGGGGGGACACCCCTGAATATTTGGGGACCCACTGCAGGAGATTTCCGTCGATATCAGTGTAATTGTAAGCATTATATTTCTCACACTGCTGCTCTCTGAAGCTTTTCCCTAAAAAGAGTAAAAAATGGTGTGACTGTAATATACCTATTGAAGTCAGGAGAACGTAGGTGGAGAAATTCCTTGACTCAAGGACCATTTCTTGGTCTAGGTTTTGGACTCAACTCAAGGATGCAGTACCAGTGTTATCTGGGCCCAATGTTTCTAGACACAGCCTGACCTAGATGCACATGTGATCCTTACTCAAAGGGGTGAGGAAAGGAACCATCTAGCTTCCTGCTGGCTTTCTGGGATAAATATCCTTTCCTTTTGGAAAGACATTGATTTTATTTTACAGATGGGAATAGGGAAAAATTTAGCAAATGCGGAAGGTACAGAATGATGCATGAAGCTATATTTTTGGAACTCTGCTAATAGTACTCTATCTTGATTTCCTCAGTGACACTGGGCATGTGGCCAATGGCTCTTCCACTGTACATCTAGTTTTGGTCTTACCCATCCATATACCCCACTTCCTGTAACTCTGGGTGCTTATGGGGGAGCTCTATTTGCATGTACTACTCTTTCCTCTAGCTCAGCAATGCCAAGTACCATTTGGTCCTTCCACTAACTGGTTTGATTTTCACTTGATGACACTACCATATTTCAGTCTTGAGACTAGCATCCTTGACCCTCCTGTACATTTGAGCATCTCTATCCACGATTTCCAATCTGTCATGAAGTACTCCCCTATATTTAGGAAAATTTGTGATCCAAAATGGCTTCATGTTACTTTCACCATCCCCATCAGACCTCAGGGCTTCCACTGGGACCCAGTGACCAGCCTCTTACAGGTACCTGCCTCTACTCACTCTTGCTCCACATTGCTTACAGATTGATCCATATGAAATAAGTTCTGGGTGTTTCCCCCAACACATCCTGAAATTAGACCTGGTCTTCCTACCATAATTCTTCACCCTAGCTGTGAATCTGAATGACCCATGGAAACTTCCAGACACAGATGTGGTGCTCCACCCTGAGGTTCTGAGTCACTACAGTAGAGGGGGTCTGGGCTGTGTTTGAGAAGCTTCCAGGTGACCTGATAGGACAGCCTTTACACTCTGATTCAGACTTCAGTTGGCCTTGATGTACTGGCAAATTCTGCAAATGATGGCACTTCTCACACCTTTTCCTTATCTTGAAATGTTCCCTCATAACTTGCTGCCATCTCCATTCTCTGGGCCTTCCTTGGTTCAAACTCCCCTCAAAGCATCTCCTTTCTCTGACCTCCTTCAATGCTTAGGGTCTGTGTCTCACAGGTTAAATTGTAATTGCTAGATGAAGGGGTTTTTGGTTCTTTAATCAGAGTACATTTTTATATCATTTATAACAACCATTATATTTCTAGACACACAAGAGTCCTAAAAAATTCTTGATTGAAATGGCTGACCTTGGTGTATCTGAAATCATGTTACCTAGTGCCTGTTATCTACTGTGTACCTTATATTCATCCTCTTCGTTTTTCAGGAACATCTCAGCCCATATGCCAGGCAAACTCTCACAATTCCAGAACAAAATTTCTAGAGCCTCATGCCATTGCTGATTCTTGCAAAACTGCAGCGCCTACAGATTCTCCCATTAGATGTCAAGCAAATGCCAGGGTGTCTTGGCACTTGGACGAGCTGGTCCTAAACCTCTGCTTGTCTTTATGTCTGCCAACCCTTCTTGGAGCTGTCCAAAGGGGAGTTGGATGGGTTGGTTGGGGGAAAAACTTCTAATGATTCCCTTTCATAAGTTTCCTGTGGCCCCTTACTGCCTCTAAGTTACTGTGTGTGCTTCTAGCACATTCCAAGGAAGAGGAATATGCCAGGGAAAGGTGTAGGTAGTGTTGCTTCCTGGGACTGTTCTGTCAGGCAGTTGTTATGGCCCCAGGGAAAGACAGGCAACTCTTCTCAGCAGGAATGTACACAGGAATCGGATTCAGAAATCCTCCCTCCTCCTGAGGCCAAGTGCTGGCTGGAGAGACCTTGGAGGTTTGGCTCTGCACTTGCTTTGGAAAACACTTCCATTCTGTGCATAGATGAGGGTTCAGATGCCTCCAGGAGGATTATTATCCTAGACACTAGCCCCTCTGCAAAAGCCCTTCCTCAATAAGTTTGGTTAGGAGTGACACACTCTGTCTCCACATCTTGGAAGATCAGGGCAAAATTTCTCCTTGACTTTGCCAGCATTTCCCAACATAGTAAGAACTGTCCTGGGTCCCCGAGAGCCACCCCCAAGTTTGCAGAGCCCATTTAAAATGGATTACAGTTCAACTCTGCATCCTGGGAGAACCACCCTTGTCCTCCCCTGGCAATCTGTTGCAGCAGAAATAGCAGCTGCCCTAGCAGGTGTGGCGGTAAATGGCTGTTACCATCAGATGGGCATTCCTCCGTGTGGCATGACTGGTACTTGGATCTGCGACCCAGGCAGTATCTTCCTCCATTCTGAGGCTCTGGGTCCTTACACTCACGGTGTGAAAACTGTACTCCTCCTCCGCAGGTCCGGGAACATTCTCCCCAGGGCCCCCATGAGGACCAGCCTCCATCCACCACAACCTGCAATATACAGTGCCACTGGATCAGAAGTAAAGAGGTGGAGGGACTGGGCCTGACTTTGTCATCTAGCTATTCTCATCTTGGTGCACAAAGTTCTGTATCTGCTTCAGTTATTTGATAATTGACTGTGTGGCCTGCCTAGCTGCAGCTTTGTGAACCCTGAAGCTGTGCTGGGCTCATTCACAGTTGACTGCCTGGTATATAAGACAGTACCTTGCCTTATTCAGGTGCACAACAGAATAACTGCTGAATAAATGAAAGAGAGCCTTTCATAGGGATGTGGCTGGGTTTGACACCATGGTTCTCTATGGCAGCACATTTTATTCTACACCGGACACTTAGCAATGTGCGCAAATACCGTGGTTGTCCCAGCTGGGGAGGGTTTATGCTACTGGCATCTAGAAGGATGAGCCCAAGGATGCTGCTAAATCCCTAAGAGTGCACAGCACCAAATGTCACTAGCACCAAGGTTGGAAAACCCATGTCTAAAGGAAGAGTCTCTGAGGGGTGCTGCCACTAGTCTACCAGCTACTGATTCCAATGCTAGGGTAATACATGGGACATACACAATTGCTTCCAAGTGTACAATTAATTTATGAGAAGAAAGCTTTGTCCCTAGGTTCAAAATGTTATAAAATGCATGTACATATAAAAAATGAAAAAATATGGAAGAGTGTGAAAAAGGAAAGGAATACCCTTTAAAAATACTACTACCCAGAGAAAACCATTGTTATGATCTTCATCAATATCCTTTCATATTTTTGCTCCAAATATATAATCATAAAGATGCGATATTTTCATTTTACAGACAATTCTGTGTATATAAATTATTTTATGATCTGCCCTTTCTCCATAAAAATAAGGGAAATATCATATCACTCTTTCCCTGCATTTAGCTTGATTCTGCTTCTGGAGGTGGGTGGACTGACCTCTCTCTCCTCCCTTCAATAACGTGGAAAGAGAATGAATGAGGGGACTGGGAGGTTGCTGAGATGAATCCATGAATCCTGCACTGATGCAGGCTTAGGAAGAGAGTGTGTGGCTTATGTGGCCCAAAAGGCTGCTGAAGCCTAGTACAAAAGACGGGCCATGGAGGATGGCCCCATGGAGTGAGTTCGGGCCACCCTGGTGATTCTGTGCTGGGTGGGGATCAAGCTGTGAAACAAAGTGGATGCTGTTTCATAGTGATGGCTCCGTGACTCGCAGTAAGGGAAATGTGATCGGCCTTGCAGTTTGGATGTATTAAGAGCAGTGCAAAGAAGTGAATCATTTAAAAAACCCTCACTGGCATTGCCTTGGTTTTTCATGCAAGTTTCCTCTGCACTGGGCCAAGATTTCTCTGCCTGGTCAGAGGCAGCTCCAATTCCTTCTCTCCTCCTCTTCTTTGAGTATGGAATTCCACAATGACTCTCATTCCCCTCATCTCTAATTAGGAATTCAGCTTAAATATGGGGAGGCTATGAACACTTGTCACTCAATCCTTGATAAAATGTTCCTATCCATGTCACTCTTTTCATTTATAATGGAATTTGGAAAGGCTGTCTTTTATTTTGTGCCCATCTTTGGCCTTCACACCTCTCATCAATCTGTATAAAAGCTCTCTATTCAGTCTCAAAGCAATTCAAAGGGTGAGTTGCTGAAATTCCCAGAGCAACAGCAGCATCCCATAGACCATGAGTACAGCCTCTAAGGGCTCCTTGCTTGTATGGATAAATATGCTTCAGTTTGTTTGTTATGAGTGATTTTACTTAGAAGTCAGAAGTTACAGTCTAGCCTGAAGTCTCATAATTCCTGACTTTCAAGTGTGGTTCCACCTTTGAAAACAGCCTTCACCTTCTTTTACTCCCTCTCCTCCTTCCTCACCTTGGGCCTATCCACTTCCTCCTCTGGCAGACAGCTGCCATCCAAGCAGATGTGCCCAGGTCCACAGGGGGTGCCATCGGCCCAGGGCAGGCTCCCATTCTTTGTATGACAAAGGGGCTCAGAGTCATCTGTGTGGCACCAGAGCTGGGTGCAGATGTCCTGCACAGAGGTGTTGGGGCAATGGCGGAAACCAGGTCCAAAGATCTGCTTGCACTGTTGGTCCAGCTGATAGAGGGCTCTGCGGCCTGGGAGGTCTGTGGGCAGGGGCAGGGCTGAGGTGGGGGCATCGAGGAGACAGTCGCCTGAGAAGAGAGGAAGCAGAGAAGTAAGAACAAGGGGCAGGGTCTCCTCAGTTTGCATGGCCCCACATTACAATCAAATTTCATATGATGTAGTTTAAAGTCTAGACATCATAGTTTCCTTGACCTTGATCTAAACACTATCAATACCCAATCATCTAAGACTGTTTTTAATTTTTTTTGACTAACAATAGCAAGAAGTTTTGTAGGACTGACTTTCTCTTTTATTATCAGAACATCTAGGATGCATTTCCCATGACTCCCAGTGTGGACTTAGTGATAACCATCTAGCCATACCCTTAACCTACATCACAATAATTGGGAATGTGAATATCCTCTTAAAAACCATGACATGATATTCTATCTTAGTTATGGTCAAATTAGTTCACCCATCCTTGTCTTTCAAACTTGGAGAGCGACCCAAGTATTGCTGTTTGGATAATATACTATATTTGTACTACTTGTCTCCCTGCCTCTTTCAAAGAAAAGAATATATTGTGTCACTGCTTTATCCAACAATTCAAGCTGTTTTAACCAGGCATTCCTGATCCCCCACTTCTTGCTCTCACACAACCTGATTACTGCCTCCTTGCCTTTTCTAAGCTATCATAGGAGAAACCACTCCAGCCTGGAACATTATCTTCTCTCCTCTTTACCATAAACATTCTTCCATTCCTTTAAGCTCTGCTCAGACTCACTTCTTCCAGACAAACTTCTTAAACTAACTCCACCTGCTTCGATGAATAAATCTAAATTAGCCCAGAGCTCAGGCTACAGGAAGTTGGGCAAGGAGGAGCTCTCTGGGGAAATTCTTAGAATGCCTTTCAAAGAATGACACACCTCTGACGTCTCTCCCCACCCTAAGAGCATTCTGAGAAAGCACAGGTCTTGGGATTCCCCAAGTCAGTGCAGGTGCCAAGAGCTGTCAAAGAGGCCCTCTGGCCAGGTGGACCGGGAGAAGCAGAGAGGAAGCCAAGTGGGGCCTACCGTGGCCATCGTCCAGGAGCTCCGTGAGGTACATGGCACTGCATGGAGACCAGGGCAGCGTCTTGTTCAAGTGGACGAAGAGCGGTGCCATCATGTGGTGCTTGCCCATAGGCCCAAACAGCCGTGCACAGGTCTTAGAGTCATCATGGGGCATGCTGAGAACGTGCCCTGAGGGAGCAGAGAGACCGTGGTCTATTCCACATGGCCAGCTGTGGTGATGGTTTTGGCAGTGCTACCAATCACCAGCTCCTTGTGAGTCAAGCCACACCTTGACTACCTAAAGATTTTTGTTTTTAGCCTTATCTATTCCAGAAAGTGTTCTCAGATGACTGAGGAACACTAGTACCCCTTTATTTTTTTGTCTCTACCTGTCTGATTTTCACATTTACCTCTTCTAATTGCTGTCCAACATGGTACCCCACATCCTACTGCTCAGTTATGTATGGCATCATGGCTCTACCTGGACATTTGTTTCATGTTTTGGCACTCTTCAGGTGACTTTGATGATGCCTCAGGACACTGTTGTGGTGTTTTGTTCTTATGCTCAGGATGGGAATGGAGTTTACAATAGCATGCACAATGTCTATTGTACATAACCCACTCTGTCAGAATGAGATATGATGGCCAATTGCGATAGCTGACTATTGAACCCGGAAGAAGTAGTTCCCTCCTATATGTGGTAATGTGGCTTTGACACGGCAAATCTTACCTAGCTCATGGGCCAGGGTGTAGGCCGCCTGGAGCCCTTCATCCTCGATCACGGAGCAGCTCTTGTTGGGGTCACAGATTGTGCCGATGTCTGCCACACCCAGGGTGTCACACAACCCCTCCTTCCCACAGAAGTTCTGCTTGGTGAAGAGAGCCATCAGTGATTGTGGCATGTGTACAGCAGGTATAGGATCACAGGAAGGCACCAGGTACACGCGAATCTCCCCACCGGCCATTACATGGGATACTCAACTGCTGGCTTAAGCATCACCTGTGTTAACTGAGTTTTGTAAAGGTCTAGGTAGCAGCAGTAGGGTTCTATGTGTCTTGATATCCAACCTTGTGGCCCTTCATTATTGTTTTTTTTCTATCTTAGTTATGGTCAAATTAGTTCACCTATCCTTGTCTTTCGAACTTGGAGAGCGACCCATGAAAATCACTTTTGTCAAAAAACGAAGCAGGGTATAGTGGTGCATGCCTATTAATGCTAGCTACTCAAAAGGCTGAGGCAAGAGGATCCCACGTTTGAAGCCAGGCTGGGCAACTTAGCAAGATCTTATCCCAAAAATGAAAAATAAAAGGGTTGGGGATGTAGCCCAGTGGTGCTTGCTTAGCATGTGTGAGGCCGTGGGTTCCATTCTCAGTACTGCAAACATCAACAACATCAACAACACACACAAAGCTATCTGAAGGGCCCCGTGTCCTCCCATGGGCCACTCACATAAGAAAGCCTGTTCCCTATTTTATGACGGCAGCATCCTAGGGCTACTAGGACTTCATAGGCTCATTTTGAGAGGCAGAACAGCACAGTGGTTCAGAGAAAGACCCCACAGAAAGCCTGACTGGGCTCAACTATGGGAATTGCCACTGTGTGGCAAGAGAGCTGTGTAGCCTCTCTGTGCCCCAGTTTCCTCAATTATAAAATGGGGATAGCACCATCCTTGACCCTGGGACTGTTGTGAGTCCTGAAGGACCTGACAGGGCCTGGCACACAATACCACACTCCCTTGTCTTCAGAAAGCTGTTTAAATCAAGCCTGATGGGTAAGCAGCCCTCCTGCCATGGGAAATCTTGAAGGACTGCCTGGTTACCTGCTTCTATGTTTAACAACCCCTGAAGACAGAACCCTTGTCCCACTTCCAACTCCAGCTCTCCCACTGAGTGGCTTGAGCTTGTTTCCTCTTGTTATGACCTCAGCAGACAGCTGGTCATGAACTTTTGGAAAAGAGCCCTTACAAGATTCTTCTCCTTCCCTTGCAAATACCTCACACTTGTCCTCATGACCTCCTCCTCATCATTCCAAGCACTAGGCTTCTGGCGTCCAGCTGAGGCCAGCAGGGAGACAGTTCCCATGTTTGGGCAGGCCTAGTGGCCCTCCTTTTGATCCACCCAGCCTGTCCCCCTTCAGGCCCAGGATTTCTGGAGCCAGCCCACACACCTGTCTGGTGAGCAGGATGGCCGTGTCATAGTGCTCCGGGTGGCGGTCACTGGGATGGTTGAAACGCCGCTGCCAGTTGCAGAAGTTGCGCAGTGTAAGCCCACCATTGTCTGACACCTCTGGGCCCCATTTTTCATCTTCCACTATTAACACTTTGACCACCATGAGATTGATGGAGTTCCTGATGCTGGGGTGCTTGTAGATGCGGGCTGCCACTGACATCAGGGTCAGCATGTGGTTCTGTCAGGAAGGAAGAACAATGGGAAGGGGGAAGTATTCAATCTCATGGCCCTTGGCCTGCCCTCTGCCATCATGGCTTGTGACAGGGCATTTACCTTGTTCCTTCCAGGCTCTGGGTTGAGCATTGGGTATATAATATCTTGCCGTGACTCACAAAACCCTTGTGGGCTTGGTGTTATTTCCCTTCATTTGCCACGGTAGTAAACTGAGGCTCAGTAATTGGTCCAAAAATCATAGGGTGAATGAGTGGATGATCTGAATTTAAACCCAAATGCTGGCCCCAAAGCTTGTGCATTTAACATCCAGACAAGCCACACATGGCTATCTAAATCCTAGGTAATTAAAATTTCATAAAATTAGAAGACAGTTCTTCCATCACACAGCTATATTTTAAGCACATAAATAGCCATATATAGCTCCTGGCTATTGTGTTGGAGCTGCAGATAGATAGTTCTTCTGGGCTGCATGGTTTATTCTGCCTTAATCTGGACACCAACTGTCTTCCTGCCAACCTCCTCCCCTTCCCTGGCCTCAGCCTGGAAGCAAAGATCTGAGTGCTGAAGGTTAGAGTTTCTCTTTTGGAATTCAGCCAAGCATTTTCCTAATGTCTGTTGGGGTAATTTCTACTCCTCAAAATGGGAATTGTTAACCTCAAACTTTGCTCATTATAATAAATACTCCTAGCAATAGCTACTCTGCACCAGCCACTGGCCACACTAGACACACATCACCTCATCAAATTCTCACAATAGCTCTATGAAGCAGACACAGAGGAAGTGGAGAGTCACACAAGTTCAATAACTTGTTGAAGGTCACACCACTCCTAAAGCCAGGATGCCAGCCCAGGTATGTCTGTCTCTGACATTCCTACTTTTCTCATTTAGTTTCCCAGGGTTTGGCTTGTTGATGTTTGCTTGGACAGCCCTGAAGGATTTATTCCCTTCTGCTTGGGACTTGAGAGAATCCAGAAGGCCTAATGAGACCCATGTGCTTAGGATCCCACCTGCTCTCAGTTCCACCCAAGCCAGATGAAGGAACCTACATCATTGCTTGGCCTCTATCCTGTCCTTGGGCTGCCAACAGCTCCCCTGATGAATTCCAAGGCTTTGAGAGGAGGCCAGATGGGAGCTGATTCTCCTGCCACAGGGGCTTCTTGAAGTTGCCCTCTTGGATTATTTTGCAGAGGCAGAGACAAAGGGACAGAGGCAGGCATGCCTTTAGTTTGCAGTATGGTTAGCTGGGCTGCTGTTCATGTGTTCTGCTTCTCTGTTCCCTGGAGCACCACCTCCTATCAGCCTCTCTTTCTGTTCTTCTGTGGTCTGGAAGATGGGAATTGAAGGAGGGGGAAAGACTAGAGAGGGACATTCCAATGAGGCAGACTGTGTGTGGGAGTTCCAGATGAGTCTCTTTTTTTTTTTTTTGTGAATGGGACCTGTCTGTTCACTTCGAAGGCAAGAAGCCAGGTATTTAGTTAGTTCTACAGAAAAAGGCAGGTTACTAAGTGCAGGTTATTTGGCATGTCAAGTACTCTAGTTGGGTTTAGGCTGATGTAAATATCAGCAAAGCTGAAACTTGGCATTTGCTCCTGGAATTATATTCCTAAAAGAAAAAAAGCAATCACATATTATGCAACTGGGGGTGAGCACTGAGGAATGATAGCTTGCTGAGGCTGATTCCTAGCCAGGTCTTTACTGCTTCTGGGGTTCAGAAAGAGTCTCCTAGTCTCTCAAGGAAGGAGCAGGGTCTGACAGGCAGGGACCACAGGTTGCCTTCTTCAAGATTTGTCTCTACAAGATTTCTTTTCATGAAGTACCCATTTCACATTCTGAAAATTGGGGAAGAGGAGATCTTTCAAATATGGTGTGAAGCCATGAGATGCCAGTTGCTAAGCATCGGGCCATGGCAGGTCAGCACAAGAAACTTAGACTTGAGGTCTGAGAAGAGTCTGTATGCTCCAAGCTGATCAAATGAGACTGAGTGAGAGATGATGCATTGGTCATGTCCTCAGTGAAGATAAAGGAAAAGGTGTAAATTGGGCTGGGGTTGTGACTCAGTGGTAGAGCGCTCACGTGGCACATGTGAGGCCCTGAGTTCAATCCTCAGCACCAAATAAAAATAAAATAAAATAAAGGTATTGTGTTTAGCTACAACTAAAAAGAAAATGGGTGTAAATCATTCTATGAAAGTTGGGGTAAGACAAGAGAAGTTTCCCAGAATTAAGATTTGCAGGGACCTTCTTCTCTGTAATTTAGGGAACTCATATGATTCTCTTCTCCAGACACTGCACAGCTGTTGGGCCAGGAAGCTTGGCCAGGGAGCCATTTTGCTTCAAGGTGATAGGTTAGACTTGAAGACATCTGAAATTCCTCCTGATCACTCACCATCTCATTTTTATTGCTAGGATTGTGTGGTCCAATGTCCCTTTCAGAATCCTAAGCCCTGGTCCTGTTGATCTCTCTGTGTCTATTGTGTCCCTGAGCAGCTCTGTCATCTCTATCATCTCCTGCTCCCAGTTGGCAACCTCAGAGAAACACTGGCAGGAGTTTTTGCATTTTCAGGGTATCTGGGAAAGACCATTGAGCCTGGGCCAGGTGTGTCACCTTGGGTCTGTGAACCTCTGATTCCCCAATCCTCGGGTCCAAAGGGAAAGCCTGACTTCTAGTTGTACAGGGAGTAGGCCTGGGAGCTGATCAAGGGAAAGGTCAGATGGCTTGTTCTACCACCTGGAGTCTATTTATACCTCTCACACCTCCTTACTCACCATGTAAATGCAGGAAGTATGCCCAAGAATGTGAACAAGATCCTTCCCCACCTCACACCCAGGACTATTGGGTCCATGGTTTGCACAAAACCTCCAAAAACCCCCAACAAATTGGTAGGAACCCATGATCAGTCTGGCCAAGAATGGTCAAACAAACCTACTCTTGAGTGACCTGGGGATCTCATGCCCTTAACTCCTGTTAGGGAAAGAAAGCATTTTTTTTTTTTTTTTGCGGGGGGGTGGGGGGAGTCTTCTCCATTGGTATCCACAGGAATAGAAAAATATGGTCCAGTCAGCTGGCTGGGACATAGACCTCTGATTCTTTCAGATACAAACAAGGAGATTCCCCCTCCCAGCAGGGGGGCTCCTGTGGCAGCCAAAGCTGGGTGGGAGTCTAGGGGAGAATGAACCTGGGCCAAATGAATCCAGCAGTCCTTTTCCTGGTCAGAACATCACCTTTTATTCTTTGCCCATTTGGTCATCACATAGCAGGCCCTAAAGCTTCCCTTGTGACACACTGGCAGAGATCAGAAGAGTAGCAATACGGAAAAGCCAGTTTTCACAACCAGGGGCCATTATTCTTCCTGGCATTTCTCTAGGGCTCAAGATAGTACTGGTGAGTAGATGGAGGAGAAGCAAAGAAAGAGAAAAGAAGTGAGAGGAGGAAAGAGAGGTATCTGCATGGGTATCCTTTATCTTGCCTTATTCTCCAAATAGCAAAGAGCAATGTCACCTCTCTAAAGCTTACACTTAGGCAGGACTACAAGTTGTCAGCTTTAAACACTCGGGAGTTTGGGCAAGCTGAAAAAGAAGGCCTCTCTGCCCTCTGGGAGAGCAAAGCTGAAAAGCAGTGGCTGGCACTCCAGTGTTGTGTGGCTACACCATCATCCAACTGTGACAAATGGTTTCCTTCACTGAAGACAACTCTAGTAATCGCTATGCTTTGCTGAGCACCTACTATGTACAGGCATTGGATCAAGTACTTTCCATATTTAGTTCTATCTTCAAGACAATGCTAGGACTTAGGTAACTGCTTCTATTTTTTTCTGGTGAAGAAATCAGGGTATGCAGAAATAGGTAACTTGTTCAAGGACACAGTTATTTCTATTTCTCCCTAAATTCTATGCTCCTGGTGGCCACACTACCACCCATCATCGCTACTGCAAGGAAAACTATAGTCTTGCCAAAACAAACCCAAAGCATGCCAGCAAGCAAGGCTGTCCCTGTCATTGTCCATGCACACCTAGCCTTTGGATATTAAGATATTTTCTTTGGGAAATACTTCATATTTTTAGTAGTTCTGACTGCAGCAGACACAAGGGGAGAAGACTCATTCTTTTGCCGGTGGGAAGAACATAATTCAGGCACAAACAACACTTGTCTTTCACCCATGAAAACTGGGATAGCTACAGAACAGGTGGGGCCTCTGTTTCTGTTATCTTCTAAACGAGGACACTCTTGACATTGAAAGATGATGTTATTAATAATTATGCCACAACAGGCATAAACTTGGACTGTGCTGGGTGAACTAGGCTATATGATCAGTGTGAGAGCCTGTGGGAGACATTGGCCCCAGAGGATAGGAGTAAGGAGATGAGATAGATAGCTGTGACAGGAGCCTGACATCTAGGGATGCTCTGGTTGGCTTTGGGGGAAGATCAACACTTCTCCCAGCCTCTTTCTGTTAAAAAGAGAATTCAGAAGCTCAGCTTTCTGCCCAAACACTGGCAGAGACTTCCCAGACAGAGCCTGGGGCACTGCTCAGCCCACCACTCACTCTGTCTGGTCAGGTTCATCCAGGGGGCAATGAGCAAAGGCTGGATGCAGACATTGTTAATGGTCTCTTTCAAGGTGGTCCTTCCTTTCAGCAAGCCTTCTTTGTCTGAGCTCTCTAACTCTGAAACCAGATAAGAAGGTGGGAGGCAGGGGCCTCTTTTGTCAAGGGATTAAGTGAATGCAATGGTACAGAGTTCTGGAAAACTTCATTGTCGCTTAGCAGTGGGACCAGACTGGAGCATAGCTCTCACAGCTTTGAAGGTGAAGGTGGTTTCTTCTCAGGATAGGGCTTCACACTTCAGCTGGATATCTTTGGATTGCTCAATTTAAGGATCCACCCCACAACATAGACAAGTGCCATAGGGTGAACGGAGTTACAGACTTTCTTATGCTAAAGAGGTACCATGGTGCAATCACAAAGAGTGCTGGACCCAGGTTTGGGAGACTTGGTTTGCAAATCTATCCCATTACTCATTAGTGTTGTGACCTTGGAAAAGTCTATGGCTTCTGTGAGCTCTCTGTTACCTCACAGGTATTTCCATGAGGTCATGCATGTAAAACCACTCTGAAAATTGAACATACTCAGAAAATGGTGGAACCTTCCAGGTTCATCATGGAGCACCCTCATAGGCACTCAGACTAGAATTGATTATGTACAGGTGTCTTCTACTCCCTAAAGGGCAGAGATGCTCTTTTCAACATCTTTCCCCAATTACTCTAAGATACCCCAAAGTGCCTTCCATTCATGTGAATGAAGTCTATAGGAAACTCCTTGGAGAGTTATGTTTAAAGAACTGGCTTTCAGCTAAAAAGGCTAAAGGAAAAGGTTGAGGGGGCAGGGATCTCATGATAATCAAAGGGAGATCAGTAGAAGAAAGGGACCAGGGGGTAGGAGTAGGGAAAGGAGGGAGCAAGTGCTAGGGAGTAATATTGGCTAAATTATATTGCTGTATTGAAAGCATGTATGAATATGTAACAACAAATCCCAGCATTATGTACAACTATAATGAACCAATAAAAATATGAAAAAAAAAAAAAAAACACCCACTAGCTTCCATCTGGGGGTAAAGGGTTTGAGTAGGCCAGGCCCTGGGGTGCCAAGCCTTGATTTTCACTCTTCTCTCAGCTGAGCATATGGACCTGTTTTAGAAAGCCCAAGGCATTAAGCTGAAAATTTCAGTGGCTACAGAGGAGCCAGTGGTTGTCATAGAGACAGATGTGCCCCAGCCCCTCTCTCACCCTAATAGGTGGGAGCAGGAGTGCAGGTGGGTTGCCACTTGATGAGACCAAGGTGGAGGGGGCAGGGCTGGTCCAGCTCAGTAAAGGCTTCTTTTCTGCATGAGACTCAGAAGTACACTCCCCAGGGAGAAGAATGCAGCCTTCACAGGTGGTGACCCTATTCTGATGCTCTCTACTTGGTGCTGGCTGGGTGCAGAGGTGCCTGTGTGTAGCTGTCAAAGGTCCAGAAAACTTGCATATGTGGAGGAGGAGGGAACGGAGCAACCATCACCCAGGTCAATCCAGCTAGGTGTCCCATGAGAATAGTTATGCCCTGATGGCTCTGTGACAGAGAGAGCAACATTTCTGGGGTAGCAGAACTGGATCTCAAGCAGAGTGAATAAAACCTGGTGCAGAACCCAGTTGAGCCTTCTGTTACAGTGGCTGGAGAATCCTGAATCCCAGTGCCAAAGTGTGGCTGCCTCTGGACAGCTGTGATGTCTGGAGATGCCAAATATGTCTTTGAGGGAAATACTTGGCATCTTCCCTGTCTAGGAGAGGAGCTGAGAGAGTGAGACCAAGGAAGGTGTTGGGGAGGACATTTTGGCATGAAAGACTGTAAAAAAAAAAAGACTTTTTTTTTGCTACTTCCCCATGTTCTTGTTTGGCTTTTCTGTATGTTGGTTTTCAGGTACATGTCAGAAACTGGTCTGCTCAGGAGGACAGGCCCAGACTCTCTCTTCTAGGTTGGCAATAAATATATCTCAGCTTCTTTCTTAGTGGAGCTCCCTGAAGCTGAGCATTGTGATGTTAGTGAGATAGGAGAGGCCCTCTTATCTTCTTCTGATACCCTCTTCACTACTTGCTTGGGAAAAGGAGTCAGAGGAGGCTAGGGCCTCTCTCCTGCTCTCAGGGTCAGCAGAGAAGCAAATGTTTAATCAGTATTAACCAAGAGCTCATGAGTTAGAGTCCCTGAGGGCTCAGAGCCACCTTGCAGTGCTCTGGGAGAAGCCAATACCACAAAAGATGGCAGTAGCCAGAAGAGCAGCCACATGGATCTCTCACCAGCAGTACTTCCTGTCCCATCCATTTTTCACTGGATCTTTCTCACTCTGCACTTCCTAGTGATAGGAGAGTGGGTAAGATCAGGTGAGAAATAGAGGGCTAACTGCCTTCTTTTCTGGACTATTCTGCATAGGTGATGCCAATGCCTGTGGTGCCCTCAACAGTCAGGCACAGGCTGAACTAGAATTGGGTTTCCAGCCAAGAATGCCATCACTACAAAAGTGTTAACTGAGCTGCTGTGGTGTCAGGATCCCTATTTCAGGGAACTGTGACCTCTGGGCAAATCAGTTCTTCTCTAACTGGCGAATGTCTGGTCCTATGTTCCCTAGTTGAAGAGAAAGATAGCTCTCTTCTTTTTTCACTGAAAAGACATATTTTTTTTTCTCCTGGAAAGACCTCTGCCCAGTCTTTGGGAGGTAGGTATCAGGGCTTAGGGTGATACAGACATCTCTTGCTAAATCAGCACCATCTTTATATCTAGTTAGAGATGGTCTGGCTACAGCAGTCATCCCCTGTACTCAGTATTTCTGTCCCAGTCATTTGAAAGTTAGTTACATCTGGGCAGAGGACAGCTGGATGGACCAAGCACAGCTCTGGCTCCTCCAAAGACATTAATTGCAAGAGTTTCATTCCCACTCCCCACTCCCCTCCTTTTTTCACTGAAATGTCAGTTGCCTAGGCTGAGCCCCCAGGCAGAAATTTTGTTCCCCTCCCTCCTTGTGCTGGATGCTGGCACTGCCAAGTTCTGCTGGGGCTCAGCGCCAGGTTGGCAAGGTAGTCCATGCCCCTTGATTACAACCAGCTGGGCACACAGAAGTTGGGAGCCCCTTTCCAGGTTCAACTCCCTCCAGACAATGTCTTTTACTTATGGCAACCAAAGTTCCTTACCCAAGGGGAGCCAAATAGCTACCTCTTTCCAGTCTAGCTGCCTTTCACTGGGAACCTCTCTAGCAACAGTAGAGAGCTGAGGACATAAGGGTAGGGGTGGGTGTTCTTCCAAAATGTTCAAATTTCATCTCTTTTGGGAGAAGCAGGTGCCTGGGGGATGCGTTCAAACCCACTTTCTGTTCCTATCACCACGTGCTGCTGGAGACTAAGACTGAGAGGGTTGTGAGCGGGAAGACCTCCAGGATCAGGACCTCCACTCTAAACTGGGGGTTGGAGTGGAGAAGTCAGGATGGAAGAAGTTAAACATTTTGAGTTATTACTCTTCCTGGTTTGGGGTCGGGTTTGGGAGGGTGAAGAGGGCTTGGGAAGGGAAAAATTGACAGGTGCTGGGAGATGTGTTGGGGGCATCCAGGCAGAGCAACTGGGGAAAGCTCTCGGAGTCCTACCTGCAGATCGGCCCCATAGAAGGTAGCCATGGACGCATCGGCCACCAGCAGTGTTTCCACGAAGCGAGCCTCAGATACAAACCGCTTGGTCCTACTCTTGGCCCCCAAGGGTGGTGGCAGTTCACTGGTGCCTTCTGCCTCTTCTTTGCGCTCCTCCTCCTCCTCGTCGTCCTCCTGCTCATCATCCTCTCTTTCCTGCTCCTCACCCTCTTTGGTCTCCACCTCCCATTCGGGTCCTCGAGGGAGGGGGCGGGCTTCGGCTGCAGTTAGCCCCGGTTCCCCGCTGCGCTCCCCAAGTTTCCAGCGCTGTAGGAGGTGCGGCCGGTTCAGAGAGTCCCTAGTGCCCTGCGGTTGGATGGTGAACTCCTCGTTGGCCAGGAGGAAGGAGCCGCTCAGCCCGCGACACAGGCTGAAGGCCGCCAGCGACTCAGGCACCCCATTCACCGTGCCGGAGAAGAAGCAGCCGTGTAGTTCCCGCTCTCCCCCGGCCGACCCGCCGGAGCCCCCCAGACGCTCGATCTTAAACTCCGGCGCCAGGAAGCTGGGGTCGGGCGTCAGGCTCAGCACGAAGTCTTTGCCGAAGGCGGACAGGTGGAACGTGAGTTCGCCGGTGCTGCGCGACAACAGCTTGGGCACTACCACTTCCGAAGTCGGCCCCGGGGTCGCCCTCCCGGCTGGAGCGCCGCGGGCAAGCGGCGGCAACGGCAGCAGCAGCAGTAGCAGCAGCAGGAGCGCCTGCCACCGGGCGGCGGCAGAATCGGGGAGCATGGGGGCTTTGGCTGCGGCGCACCGTAGAGTTTGCAAGAAGTCCGCCCGATGCGGGCAGGTGTTGGTAGCCGGAGCGTGGCCCAGCCGCTCTCTCCAGGAAAAAGATCAATCAGATGCAAGGCCCACTCGGCCAGTGGCAGCAGGCGGCCCCAGCGCGCGGCTGCCGCGGTCCCCTGGCGGCCCCTCTGGCTTGCGCAGCCCGCTCCTCCCGCGCTGAGCTGAGCGCTAGCAGCTGGCGCCCCGACCCGCGTGCGCTGGTCTTCCGCCCCAGCCCCGCGTCCGCCCCGCGCAGCCGCCTCCTGCCTCCTCCACTCTCCGGGAAGCACCGAGTGGGCTGCTGAGCCCTTCGTATTTATACTTCCTTCCCGGCTTTGACATAAGAGGTTTATTTTTGATCTCTCACTATTCCCGTTTCCCCTCCCCTGGGGTCAGAGAGGGAAGCTGAAAAGAGGGAGTGAGAGAATGAGAGAGGAGGGGAAAAAATTGGACAAAATGTAAAACCAATCAGGAGTCAGCGAGACCCGCCCCTCTCGACCCCGAGAAGCGTCAATTCCAACTTCTTCCCCTTCCATTCACGTGCGGACCCACATTAACTCCTACAATGCTGGACAGGCCTTTCAGGCAAAGCCCTTGGAGAGACCCTATAGCCTCTCCATCCTGTGGGGCCAGGTGTCCAGGATAGAGCCTTGGAAGATCTGCCGGAGAGAAGGTGTTCAGGTCCCTGCAATCACTCCGGAGAAGATCCCCCTTTGTCCAAAGAGAAGTCTTAGGAGAAGATTTCAGAGCTTTTTAATTGTAAAGCACAAGTCGGAGGTGGAAAGGTCATATTTAAATCGTTCCCTCCACTAAAACCACTGCGTAACCTAAGAGAACCCTATCTGTTTAAGTTATCTAAGAATCTTTACAGCTGTGTTCCCGGGGTTCTGGGGCAGATATCCAGCACAGTGGAAGTTACCCAGAGCGAAGTCAGCAGCAAAGTGGAATCACCCCAGAGGGAAAGTTAGCACATCCCTAGAAAGGAAGCAGGACTCCAACCACGACTACAGCTTTTCTTCTGCCATACAGTCCTGCTGATTATCTGAGGGGCTTCAGGAAAAGTGACAGGTCCCCTTTTACTGCCTTGCCCATAGGGTCAGTTACCAGTATGAGGTTGATTCATTCTGTCTCATCACTTCTTCCTAGAGAAGAGAGTGAAACCCAGGAAAAAAGGGATGATATGGTCTCAAGACAACAAAATTCAGCATTGGTGTCCCTCTCCAATTCTAATTGTGCAGGTTTAGATTGGGTTCAGAAACCTATTCTCTAAATACTGGCTCTAGACTTAGCCCCTCTATGTCCTTTCTCTGAGTTGACAGCATGGAGGATTAATTGGGATCCCCAAAATCTGGTCCTTTAAGTCTATTGCCAGGTCACCTACCCCGGCTACCCAGCTCTCTGCTTATGCTGAGGATACTGACAGTTGAGGTCATTCCTGCTTCTTTTAGCCCACCTAATCCCTTTCTGTAGTTGTGAAAGCCCAGCACACATGAACTCTCAGGCTTCTTACCTCCAAAGGATAGTCCCTTACAGCAACAAAAATACTTTTGTGACTATAGTATCTGGGGAGAAGCCCTGCCAAATATGCCCTCCCTAAGTGTCCCCACTCTGCTTTCTCATCAACACAAAGAAATGGCTATGAATTAGACAAAAGGGTGAATCTACTATGCATCCTGTGTAGTGTAGTGCAGAATCTCCTAACCCTGCACAGCTTATAGGATAGGATTAAGCTGAGTCTAAGATGTTTTGGAGGAAACACTCCTAGAGACAAGGGGATGGAAAGAGTCACCTCTTCAATCATTTTTTTTAAAATGAGCAAAACACTTCATTCCAACACAACAGTGTGATAACCCTGGGAGAATCTGACCTGCATAGACAATGAGTAATCCATTTTCCCTCAGGACTATTGTGACATTTCAGTCACAGGTTTTTGTTTCCTTGAAACCCCTTATTCACCATTTCCCCGAGTAAAACTTATTTCCAACAGTAATTAGCTCCTTGAAAGTTCTCTTTTTTTGAGCATCAGAGAAGAGAGGAATGGAGACTTGGGGCCAGTTTTCCCATTTGTCCTCCTGGATGTATAGTAATGGTTGGAAGTGGGAGACTTAACCATACCAGCGAAAGTCTCGAGTGTCTTTGGAACCTCCAGTTGGAAAGAGGCTTTGGAAGTTGTTGATCCTTTATTTTTTTTATATTTTTTTATTTTAGATCGAAATGCCCCCATTTGGAAATTGTTTTTGGAGGGAGAAGACAGATAATGAACTTTAGGCTTGATTTTGCTTCTTTTAGTCAACAACTACCCACGATCAACTACCACTATCACTACCACCACATTATCACATAGTGAGCTGCTCGCTGGCTCACTGTCCCATTAACCTGCAGGACTCTCCCTCCCTAGATTTATCCTTTCCCAAAACTTGTCATGCTGGTAACTTCCAGGTTGGTGCCTGCCATTTGCAATGTAACCACAAGGTGTCAGGCTTACCTTAGCTATGCTTAACCCCAGACCTTGCTGCAGGGTCAGGGAGAAGGTGGGTGGTTTGTAGTGGAAGCCCTTAGAAGAGTGGCAGATGAAGCTCATACAGCAAAACAAACACCAACACATTGACTAGCAAAAACCCCAATTGGGCATTCCGGATTTCCTACATTACCACTCTCTTTTATAAAATATAACTACAGCAAGTGTTGGCAAACTATGGCCCATGGGCTAAATTCTGCACAAACTGCCTGTTTTTGTATAGTCCACAAGTGAAAAATGGTTTTTACATTTTAAAGTGGTAAATTTAAAAAAAAATAGAAAGAATATTAGTATTTAATGACACTTTAAAATGGCATGAAACTCAAATTTCACTGTATGTAAAGAAAAATTATTGGAATGTGGAGTCATTCATTGATTCTTTGGTTGCTTTTAGCTATAAGGGTAGATCTGAATAAGCCTAAAATATTTGCTATTTGGCTGGCTCAAAAAAGTTTGTTGAATCGTCAAGGTAAAACAGCATTGCTTTGTATTCCTCAAATTTGGAATATGAGATTATTTAGACTCAGTATGTGTGATTCTCATAGAATAAGAAACTCAAATAATTTCTTGTTCTGAATACAAAACAGAATCCATATAAGAAATAAAATATCTTCATTTCCTTTTGAATTTATTATCTAGTAGTTATTTGTTCTTTGATTAATACTTAAATAATTAAAGAACTTTTATGTTTGTGATGCTTATACTGTAGATCCATTGTGAATTTTAAGCTTTTAATAAATGTATACCATTGCTAACTTATTATTTCTTAGTTCATAGCTGGAGTTTTATATAGTGCATACATTTTTAGTATGTACTAAATTCTGGTATTCTCTAGAATTAAAAACTCTAAGGAGGCAACATAATTGGTTATCTAATTCATTTCTACTTGCATTATACAGATAAGAAAAGCAGGGTTTCAGCAACTTACCTGAAGTCATGTAACAAATGTTTTTTTTTTTTTTCTAAAATGCTATGGCACCACCCATGTAAGGATAAAGAAACTGTTTTGCTTTAAAGTATCCTTTGCAATTCTTACCTCTACATTAGAACTGAATGCTAATTGTGGACTAGACATTTTAATTTAATTTAATTTTCATTTACTCATCAGTAATAATATCCATCTTTTGAGTACTTGCTGTGGACTGGCCATCATACTACATAGATCACAAATGTTTCTCATTTAATTATGATGAAATTCTTTGAAAAAAGCATCTTGCAGATAAATAATTAGGTTTAGAGAGGTTAGGTAACTTATTTAGAATAACCTAGCTAGTGAGTGATAGGTTGTTTAACCATTGCTAATTAAACAGATGATTTTTTTTCTGGAGAGAATATCCTACACAGAATTAGTGCTCTTTGAGTAAAACCAAGGATTAAATCACAGTATTATAGACCTGGACCCTAGAAATTCATTGGGGCAATCTCTTTCACTGTCCATTTTTTAAAGGTCTCAAGGAAGGAAATAGATAACTTCTCTCAGAAGTCTGTTATAGCACTGAAATATAAACAGAACTCTTTCTAAACAAAGTCATATGCTTTTGTGTCATGATTTATGTCCATTTTCTATAATTTTTGCTGTTTTGCCATGATCAAAGCTCTGCATTGCCTACAATAGAAAAATGATTTCTTGGTCTTATTAAGATATCATATACCCTGGACAGGCAAAGTCTGATTTTGGACATCACCTTTGTGTTGACATTTATCTTGTATTCTGTTTGGCATGCAGGTTTTTGTTATAACCACCTGTGTGTATGCAAACTTTCCAGTACATCTTAGTTACTAGATTCTTTCTTAGTTCTAAACATTCTATCTTCTGGAACTTCATGAATATTTGGAAAAACAATAATTCATATTTTCCCCACCATTTTAAAATTAGGTGCATTATTGTTATACATAAAGGTGGGATTTATTGTTACATATTTGTACATGCACACAATATAACGATATAATTTTTCCAATATCATCCCATTAATTCATATCCTTAGGCCATTTTCAGTGCAAACCCCTGCAAGATGCCAGCTACCGATTCATTTTTTTTTAAACCTTCATTTGGCTGCTGTTTGTACAAGTATCCTCAATGGGCACACCCCCAATTCTGTTATCCGTATCACTGAGAAGCAAATCTGGTATAGACTTTACTGCAATATTGACATTGACTTGCTTGCTAACAAGACTTTTGATTTTAATATACTGAGAACCACAGGCACAAACAACCCTTTTGTTCTTGTCACTTGTATTTTTGGTGACTGTCAACTATTGCATACCCAAATTTGCATGTGGTCGTCCCTGCTCAAGTTACAGTCTGAATTCTGCCTAGGATTCCATGTAGAACACTGCTGTGATTATAATCTGTGATTATTACTGTAACTGGCCAGTAAGAGTTACTTGCACATTTGGGTGTTATATGCAGTAAAAATGACCACATTTGAGAGCAAAGGTCATGTGT